CGAGTATGACTACGATGCTCCAGAGGTGTTTGAACCCGATCCAATGAACACGACGTTGACAAGAATATATGAAAGGCCGATTGGACCAAATGGACTACCAATGGAGCCCGAACCGTTACTTCGGGATGGTCGATTCAACAACCCCATGATTGATCGGTATCAAGAAATGCAATCTTCATATGTTCATGAGATACTTCAAGGTGACTTGGTCGAGCACTTGTGGGAGAAGAAAGGCAATCACAATGGATGAAGTCAAGATTAGTGCTTTGTTTGGAATTATGCTTTATTTTGTGTGTGGTGTTTTTTGGAATTATGCTTTTTATTATTATTTTGCTTTTATGTATGGTTTGTTTTGTGTGTTGTTTGCAATAAATGAAGGTTTGTTTTTAATTAATATTTGTTTTGATGCTCAAATGTTTTTAATAAATAGTCATTTTATCTAATGCTTTTTTTTTAACAAAAAGGAAACAATACAACAAATTAAAGGATAATACAACAAGATAATACAACAATACAACAAATTAAAGGATAATACAACAATACAACAAATTAAAGGATAATACAACAATACAACAAATTAAAGGATAATACAACTATACAACAAATTAAAGGATAATACAACAATATAACAAATTAAAGGATAATACAACAATACAACAATACAACATATGGCAAAGGTGTTTCAATACAACCTAATGGTTTTCATCATTTAACCAATCCGTATTGCTAGGTCCGTCGTCATGGAAAATTTTTCTTCTCATCACATCTCTTCGTCTTAGCTTCCAATAGACCTTTGTTTCGGGAGACATATGGCTCGTATCCATGGCCATGATTTTCATCTCTCTATCTTCTGTGTCTTTTTCTTGTGCCTTCTGCTGTTAAATAACAAATGCTTCCTCTTGTGTCACGTCCATTTCATCTCTTCATTCTTAGTGAGATGCTCTTTGCTATTTGCTCCAATAATTGTACACAGTCATTGGTCAAAGTGCCCCCTCTCTTGGCCTTTGCCGCATTTCTCCCAATAGGTCTCGGCGGACGTGGCACAAATGGTGACTCCGTTTCCATTGGGGAGTCCAATGGCGAATCGGTTGATGGCGAATTGTGGAGCGGCGTCTCATTCATCACAACCGCTGGACCGGTGGGAATAATTTTGAATCTCGAACAATCCTTCACAACTTCCCAACAATGGAAATGAACGAAACTTTTTTTGCCTTGCCCCATGGCACCGAACCACATTTGTGCTTGTATGATCTATTAAAAATAAATAATTGGAAGTGCAAGAAACAAAACTTATTATGCAAGAAAATATAAACTATTTTGAAATACAAAAATAAAATTGATTATGCAAGAAAATATAGACAAATTAAAGGAGCACCAAGAAAAAAAAATTATGCAAGAAAAAGAAATAGAATATGCAATTAAAAAAAAAGTGACATTGAATTGATTAAAATGGCAATTATAAATATTTTACCTCATCGGTCAAATTTTGACCGCTTCGAATGTTCGCTTTTGCTTTTGTCAAGGCATTTCTCAATTTCCCAAACTCTTTATTCAGAAGTTTCCATCTATTAGATAAGGCCATTTCGGTCCGAATAGAACCCGATCTTTGACAAAATTCTCCATGAATTTTGCTCCACATATGATGGAACTTCATCTCATTGCCCGTGATAGGGTCATGACTAACATTCACCCAAGATTGACACAACGCAATATCTTCCTGAGTTGACCACGAGCCTCCGACTTCAACAGAAGATGCCATTTTTTTATATACAAATGGAAAGTAGTAGAAAAATGTGAGTGGAGAGTAAAAAATATTGGAAGGAGAAGAGTTTATATGGAGAATTGGTGTGGAAGTGAAAAATGTGAGTGGAGAGTAAAAAATATTGGAAGGAAGAAGAAATTGTATGAAGATTTGGTGTGTAAAGTAAATAAAATGGTTAGGTATTTATAGGGAAAAAAAATACATAATTTTTGGGTATTTTTTTAAAAAAAAATTCAGAATTTTTCAGAATTTTTTCGATTTTTTTTGCAATTTTTTTAGCCAAAAAAAAGAGGACCGTCGGATTTCTAGAAAAAAAGCATCCGAGAGTCCGTGTTGCGCCATGTGGCAACTGCCCGTTCGAGACTACGGATTGATCAACAACATCCATCATGACATTGGAACCCATGTCATACATCACCTGTTCCCTTCAATCCCACACTATAACTTAGTAGAAGCAGTGAGTATCACTTATGCCTAAACACCATTTAGCCGGAACATTTTGATATGGTTCTTGTTCATATTAATCTTTTCAGATGGAGGCAGCTAAGCCTGTGCTTGGGAAGTACTACAGGGAGCCAAAGAAATCTGGGCCTCTCCCACTTCACTTATTGGGAGTTCTTAACTTATAACAAGCATGAAACGTGATCATTACGTCAGTGATACTGGGGATGTTGGATATTATCAAACTGATAAGAAACTCGCTGGGTCAGTGTTTTGATTACATGAAAAAACACCATATTCTAATTTTATTATTACTTGACACACGAGTAACTAATTGGCCATGACATTAAAATTGTATGAATGTTACAAGAGTTCAGAAGTTCAAAATTTTCCCGATATATTAAAAAAAGAAAAATATAAAATAGAAATATAGGATCACAAACTTCCTCTAGTCTCACTCTCATAGAATAACCTTTGAGTGCCATTCTTCTTCTTCTTCAACCAAATCCCCAAAATTCTTTAGAGAAATCATATTGTCGGTACAACTATGGATCGTCATACGAGTTTGTCTATCTTTGAGTAGTACACTCTTCATGGACCTATGTGTTAGATCCACAAATAATATAATTCTCCTACAGCGATTGTTCTGCTCGTGGAAATATATACCGTGCTCCCACTCGCCAAAGTCGAAAACCCCAGACACAAAAGTCCCAAGACGAAGAGGATATTTGTGCATATATATTTTGTAATTTAGCACCCACTCATGTTTCTTCTTGTCATCATAATTTTTCAATACCAATACCCATATCTCTATATTTGACGAAGAAACATCCACTAGGGCCAAAGATCCCCTGAAATTAAGCAAGTGAACAGAATCCAAAAGATTCGGCTTTTTCTTTAAGGCAAGGGGATGAGGAGTCCAATAGAATTCCTCGTTCTTGAAGTCAAAAGAAAGTATATGTACCGACGACGACGTGTGATCTCGACTAACCAACCAATGCACGGCTCCATGTGTAGATGTTGCCACAGCGCAAGATGGATAGCAAGGGGGAGCTGAGCGTAACTCCTGCCATGAGCTTGTCCCCAATACAAGAACTTCAGCCGCCACCATTGTTTGGTGGTCCTCCTTTAGATGGCGGGAGACACGTACAATCTTGTAGGTGTTGGTCATATTATCAAATCCCATGCCGTAAGTATCATTGCAGTAGCTACTATTAGGTGGAACTTGGAGGTCACTCGTTGTTGGGAGCATTAGAACTTCTCCCTTCAAAGGATTCACCAAGACGTATGATCTTCCATTACTCACATCACCCCTCCTAAAGCCAAACAAGTTGCAGAAAACAAAATCGTGCTTGTAATAAGAACCTATGGACTTGAACTGAGAAACAATTGCATGTTTGCTCTTTGTCAATAACCCGTTGCCATCGTATTTTAATCCAAACAAGTATCATTGCAGTAGCTACTATTAGGTGGAACTTGGAGGTCACTCGTTGTTGGGAGCATTAGAACTTCTCCCTTCAAAGGATTCACCAAGACGAATGATCTTCCATCATCCACATCACCCCTCCTAAAGCCAAACAAGTTGCAGAAAACAAAATCGTGCTCGTAATAAGAACCTATGGACTTGAACTGAGAAACAATTGCATGTTTGCTCTTTGTCAATAACCCGTTGCCATCGTATTTTAATCGGTACATCCTATGTTCACCATAGGTAGAGGGAGAAAGAAGAAAAAGTCGAGGTACTTGACGAATTTCTGTGGGTAAGGCGTCCATCCGCAGGAAGTTGTTCACTAGATCAAGACTAATGTACGGATTTTGGAGATGAAAATATTTGTTATATGTCTTCAATTGCTCATCCAGCTCCTCTATTTATATACAAATAGATATCTTCCAACGTCCTAAACCCTAATGCACGTTGGAAATCAAATTAAATTAGGAAATAAATTAATGCATATTTCTATTTCTCCTAATTACACTAGGATAATTATTCAATTATCCAATTAAATTAGAAAATAAATATTTGTTCCTACTTATAACTTTCAATACGATATTAGGAAATAAAATAATGCATGTTGGAAATCCAATCAAATTAGGAAATAAATTAATGAATATTCATAGTGATCCTTATAACTTTCATGACGATATTAGGAAATAAATTAAAGCGTATTTCTAATTATCCTATTTACACAAGTAAAGAGTAACGTGCTTATATATTTTAAAAGGTATAGTCGCACGGCTATACTCAGTGTTTCCCTAATTGTCTTTAAAAACAGCATAGCCGGCGGCTATACTCCTTTTTTCAAAATTTTAAAACAAAAATAGTATAGCCGCTGGGCTGTTCCTGTTTGACACGTGGCGCATATGCGCTGACATCCTATAGCCGCCCGGCTATACTAGATTCTTTTTTATTTTTGGAAAGAAACCGTATAGCCGTCCGACTATACTCGGTTTTCCTTTTTTTTTTTTTTTGGGAAAAAAATTGTATATCCGCCCGGCTTTATTGTCCTGACACGTGGTACCTATGCGTTGGGTGCATCCTTTTTTTTAATATTATAAATAGTATAGCTGCCCGACTATACTCTTTTAAAAGAAAATTTAATCCGTGAAATTTCGCCAGCATAGACTTATGTCGACGAACTTTCGTTGGGACAGTTTTTTTTCTTTTTAAAATTTAAAAAACATAGAATTAATTTCTTTACTTTTGTTTTTTGGCCTACTTCTTTAATTTAATATATGTAATTAAGTAATATCTTAGCATTTTTGAATTACTTTAATTAGTAATTATATTTTAATTTTTAATTAGTATAAAAAAATTATAGAAAAAGTCCCAAAATAATTAATTTCTTCATAGCCCAAGTCTTTCATTAATATAATTATTTATTAATGAAAGCCAAATTCAAAGCCAAAATTGTTGGCTCAACTCTCCAATGTTAACCACACTTACCTAACCATTATTGTGCTTTGTTTATAAACACCTTCATAGGAGTGTAGATTTACGATGTGAGGTTTTTATAAAGGGCCCCTCAAAAGATAGGCCTATTTTTGCATCTATCGACCCTGATATTATTTGTCTTCTTATAGCTGATGTTTACTATTTTCTAAAGAAAAATGACATGCCTTCACCCCCCAACATCAGACATACCTGAAATCTTACAAATTCCGCCCCATCCTCATCTCCAAAAGAGTACATTTATTTGCAGTATGGAGGGCAGAGTTATGGTTTTTAGGTTGAGTTCCATTCTTTGTAAATATAGGAACCAAATGAAAAAGATACCGCACAAAAGTGTGTGTTTGAGTCTGTTACCCCATTTGGTCAATAATAAATCAATGAACCAGTAATATGCTGTATTGATTGGTTTGTTGAATGATGCAATTAGTGTGTTGTTTGGGGTGGTGTTTTAAGGATGTAATTGAAGAAGGGCGCCACTCTTAGCCAAGTAACTGAATCAAAGACTTTTTGAATAAGAGTAAATACACATATCAGTATTGTGTAACATGAACAGATACATATGTTATGTCGAATAACTTTTCAAAGAAAGAAGAATCCGCTTATCATTTGTATGAAAGAACTTACATAATATTCATAGCTCTCAAAGAAGAATGAAACAATGAACAAAATTTGATTGCATTGAATTGAAGAACCGTTGATTTCATCCTTCTTTGGTAACTTTTGGTGAATCATACTGAATAATAATTAGATATTCCATTATTAAATAATGATAATATTATTAAAATACATTTCATCATATTTATTTAAGTGTCAATTTAGAAAGACTATCCTAGTCGTCTTCATAGGAGGTGATTGCTTCATTCTCAAAAATAAATGTTGAGTACCTTTGTTCTTCTACTTCAACCAAATCTCCATAATTCTTTAGAGAAATCATGCTGTCGGTACAACTATAGACCGTAGAATCTTGTCTATATTTGATTAGTACACTCTTAATGGACATACATGTTAGATCCATAAAGAATATACTCCTCCTACCAAGATAGTTCTCCTCGTGGAAAAATATACCTTGCTCCCACTCGCCAAACTTGAAATGCCAAGGCTCATGACTCCCAAAACAAAGAGGATGTTGTTTCATATCTATTTTGTACTTTAGCACCCACTCCCGTTTCTTCTTATCATCATAATTTTTCAATCCCAATACCCATATCTCTATATCTAACGAAGAAACATCCACTAGGGCCAAAGATCCCCTGAAATTAAGCAAGTGAAAAAAAAACGAAAGATTCGTCTTTTTCTTTAAGGCAAGGGGATGAGGAGTCCAATAGAACTCCTCGTTCTTGAAGTCAAAAGAAAGTATATGTACCGATTTGTCATCTTCACGAACCAGCCAATGCATTTCTCCATGCGTAGATGTTGCCACGTAGTTGCAGGATGGATAGCAAGAGACCTCTAATGCATGTCTACAAGCTCCGACATTGCAGGATGGATAGCAAGGGGGAGCTGAGGGTAACTCCCGCCATGAGCTTGTCCCCAATACAAGAACTTCAGCCGCCACCACTTCTTTTTGATAGCGAGAGACATGATAGCGAGAAACACGAACAATCTTGTAGGTGTTGGTCATAATATCAAATCCCATGCCGTAAGTATCATGGCAGAAACTATAAACTTGGAGGTCACTCGTTGTTGGGAGCATTAGAAATTCTCGCTTGAAAGGATTCACCAACAAGCATGACCTTCCATTTTCCGTATTAAGACTAGTAAAGCCAAACAAGTTGCAGAAAACAAAATCATGCGTATAAGAACACTGTGGGGACTCCAATTCAGAAACAATTTTGCTCCTTGTCAATAAGTCGTTGCCGTCGTATTTCAATGGGTGCATCCTTTGATAAAAGGAACAAGAGCGAGAAAGAAGAACAAGTCGAGGCACTTGAGGAACATTATCAAATAAACGACGCCGCATGTGCAACGCGGGAAAAGAGACGTCGTCAACCGTCTTTAACAAAGCCTTCGATACAGATCTGATGCAACAAACTGAATTTACCGGCAGCCTCGACAGGATGTCGGTAAGAATTTCCGTGGGTAAGGCGTCCATCATCTTGCTGTTCAACTGGGACTGCAGGCAGTTGTTCACTCGGGCTAGCGGAATGTACGGTTATATGTTTTCTTTTTTCTTTTTTTGGTCAAAACGGTTATATGTTTTCAATTGCTCATCCAGCGCCCCCCCATCCACCCTATTTATATAAAACCAGATATCGTCCAATATTTTAATTCAACATCCTAAACCCTAATGCATGTTGGAAATCAAATTAAATTAGGAAATAAATTAATGCATATTTCTATTTATCCTAGTTACACTAGGATAATTATTTAATTATCCAATTAAATTAGAAAATAAGTATTTGTTCCTGCTTATAACTTTCAATACGATATTAGGAAATAAATTAATGCATGTTGGAAATCCAATCAAATTAGGAAATAAATTAATGCATATTCCTAGTGATCCTAATTACGCTAGGACAATTATTTAATTATCCAATTAAATTATAAAATAAATATTTGTTCCCACTTATAACTTTCATTACGATATTAGGAAATAAATTAATGCATGTTGGAAATCCAATCAAATTAGGAAATAAATTAATGCATATTCCTAGTGATCCTAATTACGCTAGGATAATTATTTAATTATCCAATTAAATTAGAAAATAAATATATGTTCCCACTTATAACTTTCATTACGATAGTAGGAAATAAATTAATGCATATTTCTAATTATCCTATTTACACTAGGTTTTATATCGTCCCAGGAATTTCAACAAGTAAAGAGTAACGTGCTTGCCCCTCTCTCTCGATTAATATGTATATATTTTTTTTTCTGGGTAAACATTTTTCTTTTCTTTCACCACGATATATATTTAACATAATTTCTCTTTTTTCTCATATATTAAGAAAGAACTTACATAATATTCATAGCTCTCAAAGAAGAAGGAAATAATGAACAAAATTTGATTGCATTGAATTGAAGAACCGTTGATTTCATCCTTCTTTGGTAACTTTTGGTGAATCGTACCGAATAATAATTAGATATTCCATTATTAAATAATGATAATATTATTAAAATACATTTCTTCATATTTATTTAAGTGACAATTTAGATAGAATTGTCATATCATGTGGTATAAAATATAAGAAATTTGGGAATAGATGATATTCCATTGTGTGTGTATATATATATATATATATATATATCAAAATATACAGTCCCATATAAATGTTCAAAGATTACCAATATCAATTAATTATAAGAATAAAGCATATGCCAAAGGTATAATGATTTCTACGATGTAAAGGGTAAATCCTTCAGTCTTAAAGAATAAAAAAAATAACTATCATATCTTACAAGAGGATTCCAAGTCTCTATGTTTAGCATCGGGATTTTTATAGAAATGTTACCTAAACTTATACATCAGTTTCAATTTGTCACCTTAAAGAAAAATTTATAAGAAATGTCACCTGAATTTTTCAAAATCTATAGGGATATTCATTGAAATGTCACATGAATTTATACCTTAGTTTTAATTTGTCACCTGAAAAAAAAACATTCAAAATCCATGATTTGTCATCTAAGTTTAACATCATCCAATTTTCCAACTATTTTCAAGGGTATTTTAGTCTTTTTATTTTCAAGAGTATTTTAAAAATGGAAAAATCATTATAAAAAAATTATGAAAAGACCCTTGGAAATTATAAAAATTATATATCTTTTCACATTTAACCCCCCAACCATTTTTACATTTAAGCTTTATTTTTTTAATAATAATTT